CCCGTAGACCTTTCAATTTTGCGTCAAGGTAGGTAGTAAATAAGTCCAAAGCCTGGAAGGCGTCGTTATTAGAACTAACTGGTTTTGGGGCCGGAACACTATCCGTAGGACCAATACTATCCCCCTCGGTATTTAACTCGGTCATATCAGCGATAACAAGTACGTCCGGACTGATCAACAGCTAGGCGAACACAGACACCTGTACGTGTCGCTACTGTCCCAAGCATACCTGTCCCACGTGCACTAGTAGCTGCACGTGCGAGACAAGACACGGACATCCCGTCCACTCGTTTACATAACAATGATAAATATATTTATTCTGACAACTGAATGTAGATAAACCTGCTGTGAATCTACAAGGACACCTGCAATCTATTCATGTATTCATTGTCTTTATTTGAACCTCATCAATAAAGGTTAACAGAGTATTTCAAAAACACTCAAAGAATTGAATAACTTTTACCTCATAAGTAAAGTTTACTGTATCATCTATATGATTTTTGATAAAATAAAAGAATTCAATATTTTTTTATTCAGAAATGTGACAAGGTTGTATTGATATGCTGTTGGTCAGAGATATTTTAAGGTTTGATTTATTTTCAGGAATATCACCAGATAAACAGAACCTGCTAGTGAGGTCTGACAGTCAGTTCTTTCCCCCAGAATCCAAGTCAGCCCCAGCCACACCTGTCAATCAGAAATCATTGGACTTTGGGGCTCTGGATAGTCGGTTCAGACTTTCCTCTGCCCCAACCCCTCTCCCTATTGCCAGTTCTCAGACAAAGTACGTTAATATGGTTATAGTCACCACTGCTTCTCAGTTAAAGTACCTGCTATATAATGGAGATAGGATGTGTCGTCAATGCAGGTTCTCAATAAAACTGATCAGACATGTTTGGTTCTCAAAGAATGTTAAGATGTGTAGTAATTCTCAGACAGGTTATTTATAATGGAGATAGGATGTGTGGTCAATGCAGGTTCTCAATAAAACTGTTCAGACAAAGAATGTTAAGATGTGTAGTAATTCTCAGACAGGTTATTTATAATGGAGATAGGACACTGGTTCTCTGTCAAAGCATGGCTAGAACAAAATTGTTTATTTTGCAATACAGTAAAATTCCAGTATATGATTACTACTACTGTTAACTTGAGACGTGATCTCATTTGTAGACAAAAGGTGTTGACTCCATCAGAGGTAGCCATGATGAAGAACCATCAGTTGATGATTGCCTATAAAACAAGGATGGGAGGCCTGGGCACCCGAAAGTCGGCTGCCGCCAGTTTGGTATGAATTGCTCAAAAAAAGATAGAACAAAGATCTATTGTCCTCGTGTTAATGATGTTAAAACTTTCTCTTCCAGGTGGGAGTTTTGTATTTCTTCCAAATTTGAAAAATGCACAATTTCAGGATACATGTTATGCTATGATACCCGCTCAAATGATTTGTGTCAGTGATTTCCCTAACAATGAATTCAGTATTGCACAGTTTTGTCAATGCATACAAATCTTTTGTATCTTAGTCTCAAGATCAAATTGCCATAAATGAAACACATTTGATTTTTTTATTTACGACGATCTCTTCTGCATGTACCTTTCACCACTGTAGATCATCATGGACTCATCCATATCAATGCATGGTAGAGTCTACTAAAGTTACCTAGGGGTGAAAGGGTTAAGTCTCATTATGTTACAGTATGGTAGCATATTCTTATTATATCATATGATATCCGTGGGGTTATAACAGATCTGTTTACTATTGGTCAAGGGAGATAACTCACATGAGCTTCCTCAATATGTTCTCTATTTTTTCAGAGTTTGACATTACAGAGGAAGATAGCTGAAAACTTAGCAATTGCAAAGGCTCAAGAAGAAGCTGTATCCTTCAAAGGGAGCTAACTGTGACTGAGCCCTGGTTAACACTGTACACATTAGTGTATGAGGGAGATCCATAAGAACTGACATCAACCTTGTTGTTAAATCGGGTTGATTTGCTGGATAAATACTTTGTGGTAAAAGGGATGTTAAATCCCCATATAACTGTGCTTGTATTTCTGTGTAAAACTCTATGTAACTTTCATGGTATTTAAAAATGAAAATTATTTACTTACATGTGTGCATCTTAGAAACTAAGAATTTATGAAACATCTGCATTAAAAAATATAAGATTTTGAATGATGTTTACAACAAATTTTGGTTTTCCTGGGACATATTGGGAGTAACTCCCCTTAGTATGTATTTCTGTGCAGATGGACTGTGAAGTTCTTGAAATTTGAGGATGGCTGTACAAATTCAAATACTGTATTTAATAATATCAAAAGAACCCTTAGATTATTTGTTTCAGTCTGGGACAGGGATTGTCTCTTGTGTTGATGTTCAGATGTCAGGGATGTGTCTCTGATGGAGGCTTAATTACCGAAGTTGGGAACTTAAAATTACTATTCCAGGGGGGATTCTAATGGATACATATAGAATGATACTGTTTAAAGCAGATTTGTGGAAATGCTTACTCAAGGTGAGGCTGGTCTCTATTTCTGTGTAACTGTCGTCATTAATTTTTACATCATGCATAATTGCTATCCAACTTCTTGTGTGATTAAGACCAATATTTTCCGCTGTCTGTTCTTCATCAGATACATAAAGTACCAATATTACATATTTAACATAATTTACTCTTTCCCATGTGAAAAATAAAAATGGTACACACTAAAAAGGATCTAATCAGTATGCACATATTTGAATCAAAATGCCATTTTTTTTATTTTACTGTACCCCCAACTTAGTGAGGGGTATATAGTGTACCCCCAACATAGTGAGGGGTATATACTGTACCCCCAACTTAGTGAGGGGTATATAGTAATCACATTGTCTGTACATCCATTGGTAGTAAGAAGCTATTGTACAGGATATCTTATGAACCCATTTAGTTAATTTATACACAACAGTACGTTGCGTTGTACATCTGATTAGATTTTGTTGGTCATCATAAAAGTTAAAGGGTAAAAGGTCATAGGCAAAGCGACCACCTGAAATCAAACATTACATTTTGTACCGGATTCAGTGGTGTTGTTGCTCATCATTTTTTTTTTCATTTGCTCTGCTTGCCCTGATGAGCACTGTTGAATACCATAAAGGTATCCACCCCAGTATCCCTACCGCCACTATGGAACTGACTTCCTTGCAGGGATGTTGGGTCTCCACCCCCCAGTTGTAGGAGGAAGGTTTGGGGGGGGGGGGGGGTATCTATGTGAACAAGCCTCTGCTCACATTGTTTTTATTTAAGCTTATATCAGTGAAATGATATGCAGACATAGGCATGTGGAATATTAACTAAGTTGTAAAGGTGTAATATATTACAGCTAACTTATCCTTAATTTGATAAAAGCTTGCGAAAAAGATCCAGGAAAGACAACACAGACTGGAGGAGCAAGCGGCTAGGTAATTTATTTTTATGCATAATTTGTAATATTAATAATCTTTTTGATGGAAAATTAATTGAAAAACTAAACAGAATCACAATTAAGTAATGGACATTTTTTTCGTTTTTTTCTTTTTCAAAAAAAATCTTTTTCTATTTTTAATGATTTTCCTCTATACAAATGTGTAGCATCTTCCTACAGTGTTTATCCATCTTGATATCAATACTTTGGTAATTATGTAGCTTTTATTTTTGTTTTACAACAGAAAATTTAACAGTGTTGATGGAATGTCTGAGGAAGAAGAACAGAAGAAAGAAATTTATAAGAAGGTGTTAGAATATGAACAGGACACGGTAAATACTTAGTTTGGTGACAACAAAAGCTGTTTGTAGTTTCAAAACTTTACATCTACAATTTCAGAGGAAAAAAGTTGGCCAGTTGTACTCCTAAACATGATCATATGATCTGACAGATTTTGTCCCCTCTCCTTCTCTATTTACCTACTACATCTTGTATTTACATTTTCGTATATTCTCCTTGTCTTCGCTCTTCTTTAGCTGCTTTGACCGTTGTTTATTTCAGAGTTGGTTGACAGACTTGAGACTACAACTACAAGAAAACCCTGATGATGCTCAGTTAATGCAGCAGCTCATCCTTGGTATCTTAAAGTAAGTGTTTTGTGTTTTAAACTAGTAATGTAAAAAGCTCTCTGTTGGGAATATTGCTTCTTGTGTGAAGGCAACACAGAACACAATGTCTTCCTAGACACCTCTCTGGTACGTTTTCAGAATTATGTCAACCAGGGAAGGAGGGAGGAGAAGGCATTTACTCCAGGTATTGGATTAAGTTTTACAATGTAATATAAGGTAATAGGATGGCAAAATGGTTTGCTTTTCACATTTGATTTGATTATATTTATTATTTCTATGAAAAATTCTAATATGATATTTCTGTTGACATAATATAAATGTGGTATTCCTGATAATGTTATATTCCAGTCAATGCCATGTTTTTCTGTTCATGTAATATTTCATCTGACATTGTATCCTACTGTTCATACAGGTGTTCTGACCATCCTCTAACTCAGCAGCTGAAACTTTACCAGTTCAAGCTGTACGAAAAGATCCATCCCCTCGTCTCCAAAAAGATTGAGTACCTGTCTGAGATCAAGGTTCCCCTTTCTACGAGTTTGTTTCCACCAGGGGTGGCAAAAGTATGGGACGATTCCCAGGAGTCTGGAGGAGACTCTGATAGTGACTCCCTTGAGGAGGAGGGGGAGGAGGATGAAGCAGATCAGATAGATGTATTTGAAAAAGATGAACAGAGTGTAACACCAGGTGAAAACAAATCTATGGAAGTGACAGATGATAGTAGTAATGTTGAAGATGAAAAAACTAAAGAGGAAGAAGAAAGTGAATATGTAACGGTGAACCAGCTTGAGGATATTTCTTCTGATATAAAAGAGGATTTAGAAATTGCTTTAGATAAAGGAGAAAAAGTGAAAACACAATTAAAACATGAAAACAAGGAAGTGAACAAAATTCTCAGACAAGTGTCAAATGATATTGAGAAGTACAGTTTGGAAAATATGGATGATTTGTTCGATGATGATGATGATGATGATGATGATGATGATGATGATAATGACGACAATGATGATGATGTTGATGATGATGATAACAATGATCAGGGAAATGATAAATGGATGCCTCCTCCGTATTCCTCCTTGTCAGCAACAGATAAAAACAGCACATATCATTCCAGTGAATTGGATAAAGACACACAGAATTCTGACCAATCAAAATCAAATTCAAAATCATGTGATACACAGAATTCTAACCAGTCGGAATCAAACAAAAAGTCTTGTGATAAATCAGGTTCAGTCTCGGACAGTAAGTCCTCCTCGCCCAACAGAAGACATTCGTCCAGTAACAAATTTGTACGTCGCCCACGTGTTGAGCATGTGCAGGCAATGGACAAGCAACTTGCAAATATGAAAAATGAGGCATACCATCGTCACCTGAAGGGTATATCACAGGATGTGCAGATTTATCTAGAGAAAATACAGGCCCTTTTTACCATGACATATGAACAGCTGGATTCCCCAGCAGGTCAGGACCAGTGTTATGCGTGTTTAGAGAAACCATTTTTCCAGCCTATCTGGCAGTACCTGATATCACTGTACAGGTAAGTAACAAGGTTTGCTCTATGTTTTCTGTCCAGAAAAATAGATATCTCATTTTTAGCTCGCCTATTTGGAGAATAGGGGGTCTAGTGTAATCACCCCGTCGTCGGCGTCCCACCATCAATAGGCTGTTGTCTATTATAAAGTTGGAGTATTTATATGGAGTGTAAGCAATGTTCTGAATTGTATTTTCATTATTTTAGGGGCCAAAACTGGTTAGTTATACTTGGTTCAAGTTTTTGGGCAAGTGTTTTTGTGCAGTGTTGGATTGGTCATCACGATCAATACGCTGTTGACTATTTCACGTTGGCTGGTCATCTCTTCTAATATGTTAAGGTTCAGCAAAATCTTGTTATATTGCCATCATTTGTTCAAAGAAATGTTGGCATTATAAAAGGGTTTGGCGATAAATTGAGGGAAACGTATAAGGAATTCTTAAGAAAAACATAATTAAGGGGACCTGAAAATATGTTGGCAGTAAGTGAGGTGGCAGTGAAATGACAGGCATTATATCGAGGTTTTACTGTACATGTGTGTCTATTGATATTTGCTATTTTACAACATAAGTCACCAATAGGCGAGCTATTCTGTTCTCCAACAGCTCTTGTTCATATTGAGTTTGCCTGTTCGGTAGATATTTTCTAGTTTTGAGTTAGGTAAAGAGCTTTGAGGGAAAAGTCTTACCTTAAAATATGACATCTTTCATATTTTTTTCTGTACCTAGACTGTGATTTTGTGTTGTACATTGAATGATTTTTGTATTGTTTCCTTACCTAGATTTAATGATTTTTTTTATGTAACTAGAATCTATTATTTTGAGCTGTTTCTGTACCTAGTATATATAGCGTAATCTGACGGTGTTGTTTGTATGCTTAGACTCGCTAATGAGCCAAAGGAGATAGCTGTTGCCTATGTGATGACTAGGCACCAACACAGCACCCCGAAGGACTTCAACATCAGCAAGAAGTTACGCCTGGATCAGGGGTCATGTGACCAGGACAACAGCTACCCCTACCAGCCGGCGGTGGCACAAGTACAGGCCATCACTACACAGTGTACCCTACTGGACAAGCTAGAGTGTCTAGGTAGGATCCATGTCCGTCTGTATTTCACTTGTGTACTAAAAGACCAAGACAGCTGATGCTGTAAGATTGTCCCTTTGGAGGCAGAAGGGCAGAGCTGAACTCATTCAACCCTGAAGACACATTTGAACTCTTCCAATTCAAAGGTTGGAAAAGTTCACTATGAAATTTCTTGAGTGAATGAGTTAAAACAGAAAAAAAAGGTTTATCTTTACATGTATTATCCTTAAGTACGTTTGAAATTTGAAAAAGTTTAAATGTTATTTTTCTTGATTTTTTTTGCTGGGGATACAGGGGCAGGGCTCAAAAGAAATAGAAAGCAGTTTACCTTTCAGGGATTTTGATCTTATTTGGCATACAGTTTTCCTGGACCAAAGGAATGCAACATTATATATTACCTGGTATGAATTTAACTTGTGGCCCCAAACTTTGCCAGGAGTAGAAGGACTCAAAACAAGAGATAGGAGATAATATTTAAAATACCATTCCTTGAATGAAAGTAAAATGATTATGACTTTAATTGGCATAGAGCATGTCTGGACCAACTGAATTCAACATATTATTTTATTCAAGGACAACATTTTAGTCATCTGTTGCTCTCAAAACCTGTCAACAATTTTATTAATGTTTTTGTTTCAGTGCGGTCATCCCGACAGATCTGTCAGTGTATAGAGGACCACTATAAAGGCAATAAGGCGAGTGACGACAAGGTGCCCTCTGTGTAAGTGTCATTATTATACAGCTTATTATTCATACAGGTTTGTTTAATCAATTTTGGGTAACTGGTGATCTTAAAGCAATGCAATGGATTATTTTCTGTCCATTTTGGGGTAGAAAATGGGTTAAATGGCAGTTGTGATAAAAAGCAGGCTCTGAAATATAAAGTTTCAGGAAAAAGAAAAGATAAAAATTCAAATTATTGCAATTGGTACAACCGACACATTTTGGTATCTTCATATTCCTTAAGCAAAGGCAACAGAAGGCCCACTAGTTGTACAGGGACACCACATAAGCTGGACCTTATCTAAACACTGGACATGAAGTCAAGTGGGACAGAGAAGGTCATCTCTTCCCCAAACCTGTAGGAGATTTGTGTTACTTAAGAATTACTTACTGTAAAATGTTTAGTTTATACCAGGGGACATAAATTTGAATTGTTGCAGTTTCGTTTGAAATATATTTGAGGATACGTATCTGTTGTACTTCTTTCTACAGACTCTAATCATGTGTAGGTATTTTTGGTACAAGTACACTGTGTATTCACAGTACTGCAAGAATGTTACCGAATAAAAAACAGTCTTTTATGCAGATTTTAGAGCCTATATCAGAAACAAATGTGCTTCTCTGTGGTGTTTGATTTAAGGCCTGCTGATTTTTAATGTCTACTTTAATTTATGTACCCACAGGGGAGCAGACGACCTCCTACCAATCCTGTGTTACGTCATTATCAAGGCCGCCCAGCCACAGATTGTCTCAGAGTGTCACATCATGGAAGAATTTATACATGAAGGGTATGTCACTTCTTTATCACATAATGTGCTTTGTTATCCAGTGAATATACCCATGTCATATTTTTGCGTATTGGCCCATGTAATATGACCTATCCGCCCTGTGATTGGTTGTAATTAAGTTTCAATTGTTTCAATTGTGATGTCACACCTAGGACAAGTAAATGTCGTCAAAGACTAAGGCACCAGAGTATAAATGGCGGCTTTTTACATTTTAAGGTTGCATGAAAATTGTCGTTTCACACGAATAAATGCCACAAATCTTGATTATGTGATAAAAGGGATCTTACACTCGTTTTCATTTCATATGAAAGGGCCTGTTTCCAATAATGTTAATTCTCCATAGGAGCCTGCCCCCGTATAATTTCTTATCTAGCTCAACTACTGTTTTTTTCTTTTCCGAAGAATAATTTTACACCTTTCCGACACCCAGATTTCATAATTTCAGTGAAAATGTATTTTTATAAAGTTGTCAATTTCAGCATCAAAGACATAAGTTCGTAAATAAAAGAAGGTTATCTCGAAATTGTAATTCGCAACATAGTATAAATTTCTTTTGATAAATATTTCCAAAACATCGTGTTTATTCATAAAACAAAAAAAAAAATATTCTCGGATGAAAATGCACTTGCAGAGACACAATTATGAAGAAAAATGCCATAAAATTGCAATTTTCTCCCGTTATATAGTTTTGGATGCAAATTTCCATCAGAAAATCGGATAGAGCTTTACTTGTTTCATATGTGTACCAAAAATCAGCTAATTCCATGTGGTGGAACGTTCTCATATCGCCGCCTGAATGTGGTTGTAAATTGAAAGAAAAGGGGAAATGAGTAACAACCTTGTCTGAAACCCTATTATATAGCTTATTATATACAAACTTTTATATTGAATATCAGAGCGGATATTTTCATGACAGTTTTATGATGTGTAACGACTAAATAAACAGTATCGATATAAAGATTTACACTGAGGACACCCTGATACATGAATACTGTTCTATCTCAAGTTGTCCTCTTCTGAATTTTCTGATCGTGTGGCCTTGTACATTTATCCGTATCTTCTTGTCTTTGTCTATACGTTTACGGAATCATTGACTCGACGCTAGCTATTCTTGTCTCACTTTCCTTGTTTTATTGTCCCATCTCCAAAGCGTTGTGGCTCTGTCAGGGTTGGGACCCTGACTTGTCTCACTTTCTTTGTGCCTGCCGACCACGCCACATCGAATAGATAGATTATCCATATGAAATACTTTATTTTGTTCTAAGTAATCAATCAATTCTGCGCTTCTTGGAGGTATTGAATGTGATTTATTATATTGTCTTGTTATTTTGTGTAATTAGTTGTTCGTTATTTATCACACATTTTCGCATAATTGTACCAAACTACTAAGTATTAGCTGTTTACAGCAATCATCGGTGGCTTGCTATTTTGTTACTTTATCGACGCTTCATAAACCAATCGTTATTGTTTCAAGATGGAGGGTAAATGTGTTGGAGAAGGGTGTCAAGTATACTTCAAGAAACGTAGTGGCAATAAGAACAGAAGTGCACGCAATGTAAATAGTCCACAATATAAATGGCTCCTAGATACGCTGGTGCAACAAGGATTGATGTCAGCAAAGGAACAAGCACTTATTTGCCAGAAGTGCTACATGAAGTATCTTCGGAACAAAAATCAGCCTGAACCTGAACCCGAGCAGAACCAGGAAATAGAGGAAGAAGACGACTCCCCGTCCCATATCCTGCCGTTGCTGACCCTTCATGATCTTTTGAATGGATCATCTTCACACAAAAAATGCTGTCTCTGTCTTGTTACCTTTGCAAGAAATGGAACAAAATCATCAGTCTTACCAAAACGTGCAAGACATCACCTGATCTATTCACACAAACTGTGGTGTCCCACCTCATCCCGCGTCTGCTCCATTCACCTTATTGGTAACGACTTAGATCCGTCTACAGAGGTTGTCCTTGATGGTAGAGGTTCCTTGGAATCTCAGTTACCATCAAAATCGTCCGAAATCATTAATGACCTCCTAGAGGTGTCGCACGTCCTTTCACAGAACCAGTCTGCGTTTACAATAAGCTTTTCTTCTCTTGATGACTCGGCATGCATGGCCTGGACAGGTTGGTCCAAAGATCAGTTCCTCGAAATCCACTCGCACTGTTCCCCATATCTTTCATCTGGTATATATACCAAGACTACACACGATGCTCTATTACTGTTCTGGGTAAAACTGAAAACCGACATTTCCTGGAGTCAGTGTTCTTCTCTTTTTGGAATTTCCAAGTCAAGTGTGTCCAAAACTTTCCACTCCATAGTACAGGCATTAGACACATCGATAGTCCCACAATTTCTAGGTCCGGATCACTTGACAAGAGAACAGTTGCTCGGGCACAATACTGTCTTTTCAGAAGCATTTTTTGGAGATAAAGCCACTGCCATATTAGATGGCACCTATATTTATATCCAGAAAAGCTCCGACCACAAGCTCCAGAGAATGTCCTACTGTGGCCAGAAGAAGAGAAACTATCTCAAATTCATGAGCATCGCCTTACCAGATGGCTACATTCTGGACACAGTAGGACCATTCACTGGCAGCGAAAATGATGCTACAATTACAAAAAAAGTCATGGACAAGCTAGTTACTTGGCTACAACCAGACGACAACGTTGTCGTTGACCGAGGTTTTAGAGATGTCCTACCAGTTCTCGAAGCCTCTGGCCTCAATGCTAGCATGCCGTCATACCTGAAACCCGGTCAAAGTCAACATTCTGACGTCCAAGCAAATCTTGACAGAACTATCACCAAATCGAGGTGGATTGTGGAATCCTATCATGGTCGTCTGAAACACTGGACGTTCTTCCGAACGCAATTGGTGTCTAACAGCTTTATCAATGTCATCGAGGCTTTGCTTCGAACCGTCACAGCCTGTCTGAATGGTATTAGAGGACCGATCTACCAGAGATCTCCAGAGAGAGATGCCAAAGATAGGCTAATGGCTGAACGTATGAAGGACCGTTTGACAACACCGAATGGTTTAGCTCAGAGAGTCAAGACAGATCCGGATCTATCTAGACGGGCAAGGTCCGAGTTTGTCAAGATGGATGCATCTTCCGTACTGTTTCCCCGTCTCGATCTTGATTACTTGAGAACCATTACGTGTGGAACGTATCAGATATCTCTGGCTCCTGGTTACATCGCCGAACATTTAAGTGATGACGGAGACTATGAGGTGTGGCTTTACCAGCACTCCCCAGACCTTCTCCGATGTCAAATACATTCTCGACACAAAAGCCAAACGAAATATAACGTTTGGATACGGTTCACCGTTTCACCCGATGTTGAGGCCCCAATAAAGGACTACTACTGCCAGTGCCCAGTTGGAGAGAGAACGATGGGAATGTGTGCGCACATCTCCAGTATCTTGTACTACCTTGGGTATTACAGGACGCTGGAAAACCCTCGACCATTACAACCACAGGTAAAGAAATTCCGACAAAACTTGAAATAGTTTTCCATGCGGCAACGGAGTGCATATGTCGAAAGTATGTTTGGGGCTCGATATGAAAGATCCCCGTTACCATGTGACTAACCAAACTTATAAATATAGGTATTATACAATCGCCCGTAGCTATGAACACTCCCGTAAATGCGAAAACCAACCAAAATCATAAGGAACACGTTTTGTTTGTTGTTCTGTCTATTTGTCAGCCAATGTCTTCAACCACGGGGACTTGTGAAGTAGCCATCTTGGATTTTTTTTATGAAAAAGTGTTTCTCTCACTTTTTTTCATATCTGTGTACATATTCTCAACATACCGAGCAAATACTCTCGTTTTTTTGTTAATTATCTAAAGAAAGTCGAAAATCGGCAATTCAACCATAGGCTAATTCAACCCAACATTTGAAAATGTTCCACCACTTACATTTTGATGATTTTTCCTCTCATCAATAGCATATTACGTACTGTTTAATAGGATAAAAATTGGTTTGCATCCAACGCCCATAAAAGGGTGTATTCTCTAAAAAACACAGTTTTTGTGTCTAAAATGTTATCATCGAAAATGGCATTTTTGAGATTGTTTCTTCCATAAAACAGCCAAATGGCGCGATGGAAACATGATTTTTTGTCACAATCATGCCATGAATGTATTCTTTACGGTGACCATCATTTGATTAGATTTTCATTAATATTTTACATAACATGCACATTTTATCAACACTTAGACAGCTTCTGAACGGTACAACTTTGAGGAGCCATAAAAAACAAACCAAGTGACCTAAATCTTTATACTTTATAGATTTGTGACCACAATGGCATGGGCAATGCACCACCAACAGGAAATTTGAATCAGAGAAGGGGCCGTTTTGGAAACCGGCCCTTTATGAAACTTGTCATGAATTTTTCATTTTAGCTTGCCAGAGGCTTGCTAAATTGAAAAAAAATCTAGACCCGTTTCATAAATCTCAAATGAAATGGAAACTCATGTAAGATACTATACATAAGCTATAGACATCTTTATTTCCATCTGTATTTGCTGTAAAACATTTCCATAAAAAGTAATGCTTTCAAAAATCAATAGGAATGCATGCATTGCCACATAAGCAGTATAGCTATACCTGGTATCGTCGTGGTCTTCACAGTTCACTGTCATCCATACAAACTGATTCTACTGCTACTGAATGTATATCTACCTGTTAAATCTACTCTATCACCTACAGCTGATTCATTAAGGTAATGGTATGGTAACAGTGATAGACTTCTCCATATGTTCTTTATTTAAAAAAATTTAAAAAAAATAGACCGTTATCATTTTCGTGAAGAACCTTTCAAAATGGCCATTACACTGGTATGTTGTAATGTAGTATGTCAATATGTATGTCATGTGCAGTATGACACCACTTAAAATAAACGACTTTTTCTGTAGAACTATGCACTGGATATCAATCATATTTGATCAAAAGCATTCATGGGAGGTAGGGATTCAAAATTGTACAAA